ATAGAGAGAGAGAGAGAGAGAGAGAGATAAGCAAGCAGACATACAATCTGACAAAATACCGAGACAACAAAACGTAAAATCTCCCCTCACCATGCACGTGCACCAAGATGTGATAGGCGGACCCCCTCTCGACCTTGACCTTCCTGACATCCACTGGGTCATCGGTCACGGGCGGCATTTCCTTGTGGTAGGCGATCACATCAGAGCCTGTACAAAGAGTATGGGGTGTCCTCACAATGTGATTCGATTTCCTTAAACCTATCCGTACGTCGTGTTTTGCTATCGTATCCATGCGACGTGGGGAACTCTGTGCTACCACTTTCCAAAGAATATTTACTCGTTAATCCGATTTGTACGCTTTGCATAGAGATAGATGGAGCAAGGGAAACATTAACCACCCATGGCACCCCCCTGACCCAAGCTCTCCGGCTGGCGACAGAGAGACGTCTCTTTCTTCCCGCGACACCCAAAAGGGTATAAGCGGCGGACAAAAGTAAAGTAAAGTAAAGTATAGCAGTCTATCAAAATAATTTTTTGAGAAATTATTACTGAAAGTACTGAAAGTTTTAAAGAGATCTTCGTACTAGAAGTATTCTAAAACTTGTGAAGAATACAACCCCGGGTGTACAAAATGACCCCAGGGTGTACGGATAGGGTTAAACCCAGTGCGGTAATATGGTCGTCTCGCCCAGTGTCCAATGGGGGATCGGTTCTCTGAGACAGCCAATTACCACGATCGGTTCAGTTCGGTTCTGTTTGGTAGGCGGGGCTAGCCAGATACTAAGATCGTACATAACAAGATAGTTCACTCAGCCAAAAAAGTGTCCAGAACTCTTTCGTTTCTCCAGAAGAAGAATAGGAATAGCCCAGTTTGTTAGTTCCACTTCACAGAATTCTACACATAATATTGTAGAATTCTGGGTTTGCTTTTATTGTTTTTCACACAAGTAGGGTAACTCTGTTCGCAAAGTCCGCACTTTTTCGAAGAGGGCGCCACCGGATTTTGAGGACACTTTTTTAAAATTAGCTCAAAGAGAGGAGTGGACTATCTTGTTATGCACGATCTTTGCCAGATAGAGGGCACACAGCGACCATCGGGGCACAAACCGATCGCCCGACTCGCAGTCTAAAAAACAAACGTGTTTATTTTCAGGCCGTGAATCGGGCGATCGATTGTCGATTGGTTTGTCGATTGGTTTGTCGATTGGTTTGTCGATTGGTTTGTCGATTGGTTTGTCGATCCCTCCATGGGTACTCCGTCTAACACAAGCCGATCGGCCGACTCTCGGCCTTGAAAAGAAACGCGTTTATTTTTGAAGGTCACCGTCGGTTTCGTTTGATTTTGCCACCATGGTCGCTTTTCGCCTTCAATCTGGCTAGCCCCGCCTACCAAACCGAACCGAACCGATCGTGCCAACAACGATTCTCTACTACACGGTCTTTGGTGCCAATGCGCACTGGGCATAAAATACATGAAATGCACGTTTGGTTCACAGTAGTAAGGGGGTATCAAGGGGTACAGGTGTCTGATTTTCCCGAATGGATGGATGCGAGGGTGGTTGGGGATAAGGCTTTTCCAGATTTGTTTCTTAGTTGGTGCCAATGTAACAGCATCCGATTTGATTTTTGTAGAACAAGCATAACTATTTGTTATAATGCTGTTTCAGATAACATGTAATGGCCATCAATTTTCACTGTCCGCTAGAAGGCACAATCTTATATGTTGATGAGGGGAAGTAACTCAAGTTGACTGGCTCTTGAGTGACCAAAAGTTATTGTTGTCGTTTTACTCTAAACTAAAAATAGGTAATGGTTTGGTCGTTGGAACTTGGGGCGACCACGGGGTTTAAGGTACTGATGACAAATAACTATGCCGTAGCTCTTAAAACTGGTGGAGGTGGAGATAGGGTTTAGGGTGGTGGGAGGACATGATTGTGTGCAAACAATTAACGGCATTAACCACCGGGTTATTGTATAATAACTACTCCCCGTGGCAGTGATTACGAGTCTGTTCAACAAGAGAACGGACGAGAGACCAGCGTGTTTTGTAAGCTGGCCAGCAGGAATTATGAGATGGTCAAGGCTCAGTTGTCTGTTTCTGGGTGTGAGTGATAACTTATGTACGCCTTCTATAGACTATTCAGACATGCAATATCAACACAATACACACACACACACACACACACACACACACAAACACACACACACACACGCACACACATACATACACACATGCACGCTATGTATCTATCTATCTTTCTATCTTATCTGTCTATCGATCTATCGATCTATCTATCTATCTATCTATCTATCTATCTATCTATCT